GCTGGGAAAACTAGCTAGAGGAAAAAATTAATTAAAAAATGTAAGATAATATAATATAAAATATTAGATTATGCTTATGCTTTAACCAGATTTTCAACTATGGGGAACCCTCAAACCCATTCTACTTTAAGGATGGACTACCAAATTTAGAAGAATACAAAACCATAGAATATGTTTCAAGTCAAATTAAAACACTGAAATTACGAAATACTTGGTGAGAATAGATTATATGTGAAGTCTCCAAAATAGTGACTAATGATCTAGCCAAATATAGTCTAATATGGAAAATGGAAAAAATACTGAAGATTTTTAAAGGAAGGTACTTCATTAAAAGTACCACATATGAAAAGACCAGAGAAGACTCAGACAGAGATACGAAAATAGAATAAAAAATATGTAAAAAAGAAAACCAGGGAGGGGATTGGTACGTAGAGTATCTACTGTCTACCATTGGATAGATAAAAATGGAGACAAATATTGTGTTGGATAGTATAGTCGACTCTTAGAATCTAAAATGAAAGTAAATATAAAAATTGATATATTATTATTCAAATAATTCACCTAAGCGCTGTAATGTTTCAGTCACAGAGGCTTTAACAAATCTTAGTTCATGGGTTTCTGAAAAAATTAAAAAAAAAAATTTATTTAAGTAGATCGGTAAGTAAATTGTGAACTGATTTAAAGTGTATAGAAAATAAAACCTAAAATCATTAATAATAATATAGATTATTTTTACATTAATTAAAATGTATAATAAATTAATAAATATAATATTGTGATATTATTTGAACACTAATGCATTCTAATATTCTATTATAAGCATTGAACTTAATGAATACACAATATCAAAGAATAAATGCAATTTTAAAATGATGAAAATTTAAACGTACCATAAAATTTTACTTTTTGTAAGTAAGTTGTTTGAAAATACATTTGTGGATAAACTGAAAAAATTCACAAGAAATATTTTCAAAAATTAACACTAACATTAATAATTATTTTAGTATACACAAATAAAAGTAATTATGTATTTTAATAATTGAAAGTCTGAAACAATTGATTGTTAAGTATATTTTTAAATACAAAATGTATTATTCGTAAGTAATTTAGTTGGATATTAATTACTATGGTTTTTCTGGTTATTGTATTATTATCTTTATATTCACATATAATTTTTCTGAACGAATCTAAGTATTTGAACTCCTCCTAAACGGCTGGACTGATTTTGGTGACATTTTTTGGGTGTGGAAAGTTGTGTTATGTAACTAAAATCAGTTGTTGGTTCATTTGAAGTTAATAGCCTCAAAAAACGACTGGATCTTTTTTCATGAAAGTTATATCAATAGAAAACTTGAAACTTGGAGGATGCTAATAAATTATTATTTTGACTAATATAGGTAGTTTATAGCTTTCAGTTTACCTATACATTATACATTTTTTCTATGGCATATATAGTAGGTACAGTAAAAAATCTCAATGCATATTGATCAGTTACTAAAGACTTACATATTGTAAATAGTTATCACGAAACGGGTATGTTAATTACATAATATTACAACGATTAACATAGTTCTATTCAATTTTGGACAATGTAAGTAAACATATTACGATAATAACAACTCTTGGGCAGTACAATTATTATAATTTATAACACATCAAAATTGTAACCTGAAACGTTTTTTTCTGGTTTAAAATTCCTTTGAAAAAAAATCGGTAGGTTGCTATTTCATGCATATTTTAATGCAAAGTAAAATCAATATAAAATATTATTTTATATCGCAAAAATCAAAAAATATCTTACTTGATTTGATGTAACGAAAAATGTTACTGGAAATAGCGGTAAGGTCTAAAAATAAAAATAATACGCGGTGTAAATGTTAATTGTTTTAAGACCATCGAATACCAAATATATTTTATTTAAAACAAAATATGTTTTTTATAATATAATCAAAATATAACATTTGTTAATATAATGAAAAATGTCGTCTTATGGTGCGATATTCTTACCAATATAACATGTTTTTGCACAAAGAAAAGGAAACTAAATCTGGTTATTACTAGTTTTTAAGGAAAAGGAGTGAGGAGTGAGGACAAAATCACATAAACATTAAACATACAAATTTATCTAGCCTTTTATTTAATATGTATGAAAAATAAATTAAATAAAAAGCATTTAAAACAATAATTACGTTCAACAAGACACAGAAAAATAATCGTAATACTCGTAATTCAGACATTGCGTAGACGGCTTTTAAGTATAATAAAATGATTGAAGAACTGATTGTCTTATCACGCCTGTATGTTATTTAAAGGAAAATGTGGGAAAATAGCACAAAAAAAATAAGAAATATGTCTCAAGTAGGCAAAAAACATAGGTAATTGTCGTAAAAATCAAAAAATACCTAAATATTAAATATTAGCAACATACAACTGCAGATTAGTCATAACGTGAAACTATTTGTTTCTAGTTGACTTTTTTTTACGATTGCGCAATAAAAATATAAAAATGCTAGAAGTCTTCTGCCCTAGTTATTAGTTTCAGTACAAAATAATAGGTATAAATGTATCATACATTATTGTACTACCTATAGCCATCAGATCAAACTCTAAAATATTTTAACACAGTAAAATATCAGCTTATATAATTTCTCTTGTTTAAGATTCAAACCAATATTGAAACATATATAAACACATTATGATTGCTGTCAGAGTGTCAGGTAAAATGTAAGTATGATTTTTACATAATGTTATATCTACTACTAGAAGTCTAGAAATACTTAGTTGGTAATATATTAAAAAATGATATATTTACTTAGAGATTTCATTCGTGTCGTATACTCCATATAGGTTTCATTTATTAGTGGAAAATAAGCTGAAATATAATATAAATCATTTCATAAGAAAAACATACATTTTAGGAAAAACTTTCACGCTTTGAGGAACAGATAGATTTCGATAATTTGTTTTTATTTGAAAGATGCAGGTCAGGTTTATTACATTCTTAGAAATTGTAAGAAACTTTTATACATCAAACATTTCCGAGTATGATACTCAGAAATAATTTTGCCATAGTTTTTAAAATAAATTGAAAAACCCTGGTCCAATGTGACCTAAATGAGTTTTCTTCTTTAGATAAAAAAAAATATTAAAATCTGACAATTCTGGGAGGTATGGTTGTGTTTTCTATAAAATCATTATTAGAAATTACCCGAATTTTACCCCTTAATAAATATCGTCTCGAACAGTCTTAAGATATATTATATCGATTATAAATTATATTTGTACCTATATTACGTATTTTTGACCATTATATTAAAGTTTAATTATATTTATACCTTTTTTAAACGATTTGAACAATTTTTCATCCATAAAATCTGATTATAAATAATACAATAATATGTAATAATATTACAATAATTAAGAGTTACACTTATTTCTAAGAATAGAAAAAAGGTCTTTTTTATTAGTGAATATTGCTATATATATACTGATCTGGTGCTTAAAACAAATAAGCCATAAAACTAAAATATTTATGATTATGTATCTCTAAATTTACTAGAAACAAATCTAATTAATTTTATACATTTAATTGATTTATTTTTTTATTTCCTTGTTGTGATTTAATCACGTATGCATGGTTATTACTTTATTATTACATTAATTTCATCTCACTTCTTATATTGGAAGTTGTGGTTTTCAATCTTTGTCTAACACACGTGGATTATAGGAATTTAGACTTGTTTTCATTCCAACTTATCGATTGATCTTCCAACACGGAAGTCAGAAGTTGATGGTTGGTCCGCTGCTGGTCACATATACGTTATTTCATGTGGTGTAAGTACGTAGTTTTTTTTCTCACTGATAAATTAAATCACAAACAAAATATTCGAGAAACCCAAATACATTTAAATAATATAAATCAGCATAAGGAAAAAAATGACAATAGTACCTATAAAGATTATAAAATAAAAAATTGCAAATTTACGTATGGTTCGTATAATTATATCAATACATAAAATAATTAGATGTAAGAATATAAAAAACAAAACTATAAAATCATAAAATGTATAAAAGCTTGAAGACTCTCCCGTCCCGAACACTTCGCAAGTCGTTATCACTAATCAGGCCTGGACATAAACGATTTAAAAGATAAAGTTAAGTTAATTTTATCTTTTTCACTGAATATTTTAAAATTTACTATTCATTAACTCAATCTGCAACTTAACTGATTTTTATTGATACAAACTTAATAAATTACGAGTTACTTTTAATCAAATCCAATTTTGTTAATTTATAAATAATAAATATAATAAAATTATTATTGAAGATAATATATTATATTATGTTGCATGAATATTTACTTTTTATTATTTTAAACCATATACAATAGCTACTTAAATATTATTAAAAAAAAAAAAAAATAACTTAACTTAAATTAATATGTTATGTTAACTTCTCCTGAGGAAATAACGTCCAAAATCAAGCTGCCGGATTGGGAATCGAACCCGAGTCTCTCGCTTGCCGAGCGATTGCTCTACCACTAAGCTACCCGACTTACACCTCGACGCTACCTACCCACAAGTTGGCAGGAATTTACAGTTAATTGTAAGATATTTTAAGATTTTAAATAACTTTTAGTTTGACCGAGTTTTAAAAAGATTAAGATGCCTAACTATTAACTTTAAACTTTTTAAAATGTTTTCTATCAACTCAACTAAAAACTATTATTAGATAAATTAAATGTAGTTAATGCATGCCGTCCAGCTGTCCAGTGTCCGTACTAAACTATTCGTTCGAGTTGACCAGGGCCGATGAGTATTCGCGTGCCTTACGTACAAGCCCGGATTAAGATAATTTTGGGCCCGGGGCCAAACAATTTTAGGGGCCCATATCCATAATCAAAATTTTGGTGACCCACAAATAAAAATATTTCAGAAAAAAAAATATATTCATCAATTTATTTCTTATTTTTTTTTTTAAATACAAAAATAAAAATGTTATTAAAAATATTTTTTTCTAGATTTTTGGGAAGCAAACTCTTTAATTATATCATCGGTATTAATTACTTCCAAAACATCACTCTCTGAACACAAAACCATAAAACTATTTAAATTTTCTTGAGAAGAGCTTGTTCTATACTTGTTTTTTATTCGAGCTAATTTGGAGAAAGCTCTTTCAGCCGAACAATTTGCAATAGGTATGGTTAGATATATTTTAATTGCAGTATACAAATTAGGAAAAGAAATTAATAGATTTTTTTCATTGAAATGCTTCCAAATATCTAGCAGATAATCTTGTGTGTAATCATATGAAGGTTTACTGATAGACCAATATTTTTTAAATTGTATAATTTCATTTTGTATAGTATTATCAACATCTTTTTTATACAATAAAATAAAATTTTCAAGACTTTTATTAACTTCTTCTTCTTCATCAATATCTTGTGGTAAAACAACATGCAATTTTGTGATGAACAAAAAATTGTTTTTTAGAAAACTATAAGCTTCAATTCGTTTTTCTAATTGTGAACAAAAACTATCTATAATAACATTATAAGTCTCTACTCTAAACTTGTCATGACCACTTAAAGATACCTGATTACAACCAGAGTCATTTGGAAATTTCTTTTTTTTTATTCTCTCTTGTTCATCGGAGTATTTCTCTTTTATTTTAGGACTAAGTTGATTTATTTTATTTTCATATAATGTACTGCACTTCCTCAAATTTGATACATAATGCTTTAATGATATAAGTAAATTAAGAGCTTTTAAAGGATCACAATTTATTGTTTGCAACTGTATTGAGGTCTTGTTGGATCTTTCTAAAATGTCATTCCATAAAAGTGCCATGTATCCAGTTTCTTTTTTTAAAATTTTTTTTAATAATGGTCTAGCATTTCTTTTAGTATCTTCATTTTCTTTACTATTAGGACTTATTATAGTTTCTAATACTTCAATAATTTTAGTGTAATTATTTATTAATGCTTTACAAGACTCTGTATGACATGACCATCTAGTATCACCACTATCACTTAAAGATTTTAATACTAGTAATCGATTACTATCACTTTTTTCTATAGATGTAGTTAATATATTCCATCTGTGAGTAGCACTACTGAAAAAATTATACAGTGACTGAAGAAACCCAAAAAAATTTACTGCTTCTAAGCAACAATTCACACTGTGAACTCCGACTAGGTTAAGTGAATGAGCAGTGCAAGGTACATAAATAGCTAAATCACACTTTTTTTTTACATATGCTTGTAGTCCTTCATAAGTTCCACTCATATTAGGAGCATTGTCATATGACTGACCGCGACAATTTAAAATATCAAGTTTAGAATTTTTAAGAAAATCTTCTAACAATTTAAAGATTGACTCACCTTTGTGACTATCAATAGGTTTAAGCTCTAATAATCTCTCTTGTACATTATGTGATGTACAATATCTTAATACTATTGCCATTTGATCTACCTTAGATAAATCCGGAGTTGAGTCCAAAATTAATGAAAAATATTTACTTTCTCTGATTTCATTTTCAATATAATTAATAACACGTCTCTTTATCAGAGTTATTAATTCGTTCAAAATTGTTGTAGATAGGTATGATGGATGACCTCTCCCTTTATTACCGTGCAATTCAATATGGGTTTTCAAAAATGGATCAAACTCAGAAATTAGTTCAAGAAGTCCTAAGTAATTTCCATTATTTTATAATCTATTATTAGTAATGATGTTTCAACCGTCGTAAATCGTAATCGACGGTATTCACAGTAGTACTGTATTCGTGATTCCTATAATTCCATTGCATTATCATTATCATCCTGCTAAAAATAGACGATAGTCGGTAGCATAATAATAACATAGGTGATATCCATATTCCATATCCATTATCAATATAGTATTTAGCCCACCACAGAGTACACTATGTATAGGCGTATAGCTTATAGGAAACGTTAATGTATAATAATAATAATGATATAAGTTTATATTATTATTTATTATCATTGCAAATCTTTGTATTTTATCGCATATAATATATTATATTTTACATGTTTCTTTTGAGTTTTGATTTACGAAATAAACTATTATTACTATATCCAAATATTTCTGATTTAATAAAAAAAGTACTATTCGCCAGGGGCCCACTTTTGTTTAATATCCGTGGGCCCAGGGCCATGGCCCCTCCTGGCCCCCCCTTAATCCGGGCTTGCTTACGTACTAGTGTACTGCTGTGTGCGAGCTTGGCAATGTTTCCAAAACAGTTGCCGCACGAAAATGTTGTGCCGCCGCAACTGCTGTCCTCACGCTATGCCGTCGTTATCGGTGTGCGTACTTGCTATCGTTGAGTTCGTGGTTAATTGACCCTCACGGATCGTATAAAAAAATATGTGTTCATCCAATCATCCCTCGTGCACCAGATCCACACAGTGTTAAAGGGTTGTTTTTGGCAGCAGTGCAGCACGTTAAATCGTTGAGCAAAACCGTCGTTTATATGTGGTGCGACGTAATGTCGACTGTTGTAGAGCGACTAGTCATGATATATTGGGTAGCGGAAATCTGTTTGAAATGGGACGACTCGCTTCCGTTGCTATCCTTGTGTGACTTACCCAAGCTACGTTTTTCGTGTAGCTAGCGTATTGTTGATATGACCAACTGTTTGAACTGCCGCCTTTTCATATCTGGTGTCATCACCGGTGCGCGGGATACGGCACGATAACACGGCGATTAACGAACTTTGGACTCCACAATCTGGACGGCTCGGACGTCGTCTCCGTGCCGCCTACCAGTCTGCGTTCCACGGTGCCGGTGTACAACGGCCCGTGCTGTTTGCGTTACACTCGTGGCTTGTCTTGTTGATTTCACGTGGTGCGTTTGCAAGTGCATCGTTCGTGTCGATATAAGATTGTGCGTTGGTAGTGTCGTCGTGTTCCGACCGCCGCCCAGACGATTTGATTCGGCTGTACATTGGTACATATTATTGTGACTCAATCCGGCAACCGCGCGTGTGCGACGCGAGTAAATCACCGCTCACGGAAATGATCTGTCATCTTTTGTGAGTCGGCCTATGCCAGTAAATATTCGAGTGCGTATACCACGTCGGTTTGATAGTACTACAATTTTGGAACGTGATCCGTTAAAAATTTAAATAAGTACTCGTCGCCGCCACCGCGGTGACGTCAGTGTGCCGCCGCCGCAGCCGCAGCCGCCGACGTTGTCATCGTCGTAACACATCAACGACTATCACCGCCATCGCTGCCGTGGTATCGTTATCAACTATTATTGTTTTGTATTTTACAATTGTCATAAAGACATATCATTATTGTTTATATTATTCAATTATTGTAATTATTACTGTTCGCTGACCGTCAAGAGACGTCTTCACGGTCGTGACTCTGTGCAATATTCACTTATGTACATTATTATTATTCAATTCCATATATTAAACACTATCATTTAACGATCAAACTTTGTGTTAAAATTTAATATTAAAATACCAGTGTCACCTCACTCCCATACCGACGCGAGTCGTCGTGGCTAACCGCCATATATCGTAGGAGATACCAACGAATGGTTTACTCGAAATTTTACCAAATGTAAAATAAATGCCAACACCAACGAATGGTTTACTCGAAATTTTACTTTTGACTGCATGTTGAGCTTTGTGAATCATATATAATATTACGTCGTAATATTGACGCTTGTTATTGACAAAGTTGCCGTTCGAGAAACTATTAATTCAAATCTGTTTGTAGAATTTTTATCGCTTCTCTAAAACAATCTGTACGTTGGAATGAAAGCACGTCTAAATTCTTATATTCCACATGACGTGTAGACTGCAAAGACAGCAAATCATCGCTTCCAGTTTCCATAAACTACTATCGCTGTTTTAACAATAACCATATCACCTTTGCCTCAAACATGAACTAAGATAATAGACAATAGTACCTATATCTTAGTTCATGGCCTCAGATCGATGTGTGATGAAATTGTATACCTATAGGTAGGCGTAGGTTTATTTACCTATATAAGTATATGGTACTAATTATAACTACTTATTGATAACATTTTTAGCAATCAAACAAGGTAAGTGTTTTTAGTTTTATATAGCATGCATAATGAATAAATTTTCTTCAAAGCTACTAAATTAGTATTATATAAAATGTTTTTACTAAATTGAATGCTACTATTAGTATTATTACTTATTGCTGTATCTTGTATACTGTATAGGTTGACACACGGTACGCAAAGGAATAGCCAGTACGAAGTACAAGCAGTAAGCACCGCAGCGACCGGTCTACGCTCTTACCAACTACCACCACGGGTTACGACAACGCGACTTTGTCAACTCAACCACTGCGCCTCGAAGGCACAAGGTGGGGACGGGAAGGCAAGTCGCGCTTTACAAGTACTAGCCGGCCGCGACCGTTTCGCTCTCTTACGCCGATCGCCGTACCACACACCGCGTGTAATACAGAATCGCGAAAGCATATTATAAAAACTATATTGTTATGTAATTGTAACTTTAATTACAATTGTTGCATTCGACTGCACAATGCAATACAAGTACTTTTGGTCAGCAACAAGCGCGTGTGTAATATTTTTTGTTGTTGTTACATTCGAGTGTCACCCACCGCGAATCCATCAATAACCGGACTACCGCAACGAATACACCGCCGTAGCCGCGTCAATTTAATATACACATATTGTATTAAAATATTTATCACATATCAGAATTGTTTTAATTTAATTTGTATTTCATTTATCAATTGATACATAAATTATTCAATTATATTGTTTCATTTTATAACTAATAATTATCATAGTTATTAGTAACTTATTACTGTACTTGAGTCACTTATGGAATTTATCAATAAAATAAAAAATATTGCATTATAATCTTACCTTCCCTTGAAGAATATGGTTGAAAAACACGAGGAAAATCTGAAAACGGTAAATGTTGTTAGAAAATAATATATTCTTTAATCTTTATTTTATGCGTCAATACCCAAACGGCTCCCGTCTATTGTTTATTATTCCCAAACGGCTCCCGTCAAAAAAGGTTTTACGAACAGGTAAATACCCAAACGGCTCCGGTTGAAAAAGGTTTTACGAACAGGTAAATTCCCAAACGGCTCCCGTCGAAAAAAGTTCTTATAAGTTAGGTTAGGTTAGGAATAAGTTATTCCCTTGCTTTGACCACAAATGGCTGTGAATCGTTCCACAGCAGATTTAACAACGAATTCAATTCTGCTCATCCTAATATTTTTAAGGTTATTGACATACTAACCGAAATACATTCCGAAGCACAAATTAAAGCTCGAAGTGGTGTAAATACACCAAAACCGACAAAAAACAGGAGCTCATTGAAAACATTATCCGAGAATTTTCATCAAATAAAATAACTACCATAGATTATATAAAAAAATGTGTGCATCAAAAATTTACCTATTCTATAATTTTTTTTATATTTTTATACATACATTTTTGTCTATTTTTTAAAACTTTTGTACATTTAATTCACAGAATATAATTTTTAACTTTAAAAAACAACAACACATTTTCAACCACACCCCTTTAGAGACAATCCTAAGTTTGTATGAAGTGGGAAGGAATTTGTGTTGTAAAAAACAGGATTACTACCAGGATTTTAGTAAAACTTTTTTTCGATGGGAGCAGTTTGGGTATTGACCTGTTCGTAAAACCTTTTTCGACAGGAGCCGTTTGGGAATTGACCTTTTTGAAAACGGGAGCCGTTTAGGAAAATTGGGAGCCGAATGGGCTATGCCCGTTTTATGCCTACTCCGTTTGCTGAGATAATGAGGTTGCTACTTGCTATACAGTATACACACATGCAAGGAATTGTGATTTGGGTACCCCACCACACAGGTTGTGGGAGGGGGAGGGGGTAATACGGAATTGGTTCCCAGGTCAAATAAAGTGTATGAATTGGTTCCCATTTAAAACTACTTATCAGCATACGACTGTTCGAATTGGTTCCCATGTGTACAAATCCCTACGGCGAAACGTTGCCGAAGTATATAGCTTTAAAATAAATTAGGGTAACTCCAATGAAAAAGAAAATACATGTTATGTTTGTTAGTAGTGGACTGTATAATACAATAGCAATAAAAAAAATCACACAAATAATAATAGTGTTATTAAGTATATTGTACATAACATTATATAATAAATTCGTATTGCCTCAAAGGTTTAATACAACAAATAATAATCACAGCCATTTATGAACCTAACCTTACCTAACCTTGCCTTTTAGGCTTAATACAGTTTAAAAAAAAGTAAATTATTGAACTAAATATCATCAATGCGGTGCACCACGTACCTTTAGTGTGATTAGGGTGCCAAGTGGTGTCCGAATCCGTATTTAATACACTACAATAGAACAAACGACAGATTTGATCCGGCACACTAACATACTACTCGTACTACCCCTTGGTGGCACT